TTCTGAGGCGGGACGCGTTACTACTCTGTACGTAGACCGCGCGCGCGCGTGGTCCGGTGAACCTCAATTTCGTTCGACCCTCGGCAAAATCGGTCGAATATATCATACCGAGTCAACCACGGCTCGTTAAATTGTCTAATCGCATCGAATCCGACGCGTTTCAGGCGCGGGTCGCGGGTTCGGGCCGGGGAAACGTAGAGAGTCAACTTCAACATTGCACTGATCGTGCAAACTTTTTGACCCAGGACTATTAGGATTTTATTTTGGTTTCGGCACTGCGACGATGGCCTCCGAATCCGGCGCCGTGGGCTCGGGGGCCTTGAAATAACCGAAGGCGTCCGCCGTCGCGAGGAGGACGAGGAGGTGGGGGGGTTTCATCGTCGGTCTACGGCCCCCTCCGGGCGCGCGCGCGACGAAGCTCGTCAAATCGATGACCTGCGCGCGCGATTGGGCCCGTCGCTAACATCCAAGCCACATTTTACCCCTCCTCCTCGACGAACGCCCCCACGGCGTCGACGAAGCCCTCGCAGACGTCGCTCTCCGCCAGCGGCCGGAACGCGTACCTCCGGTCCGCCGCGGCGCGCAGGCGCCGCTTGACGTAGAGGCGCGCGAGCGCGCGCGTCCGCCGCTCGTCGCCCGCGAGGTCGAGGTCGGGCCGGTCGCGCCGGAGCCGCGCGAGGCGCGCGAGCGCCGCCTGGCCCGCGGCGTGCTGGCCCGGGAAGAGCCGCGCCTTGAGCTCCCGGTCCGCCGCCTCCTTGGACCGCCGCTCCGAGTCGTCGAGGTACGCGTCGAGGCCTTCGAGGACGTAGCGGCCGTGGTAGAACCTTTGGAATTCTCTAGCTCGGTCACATCGAAGTCGATTCGGCTGACTTTTGGGATTGATCGATTGCTCTCATCGAGTTATCGAAGCACAGCCGGAAGAGCTAGCATTCGAATACGCGCACATTGAAGTCGGGTTGAAGATTTGAGTTCCACACGGCCGTGGTAGAACCAGGTCCGCAGCAGCTCCACGGTGCGCTCCGCGCGGAGGATCTCGGGCGCGAAGACGTCGACGAGCGTCGCCGGCGCCGCGGCCGCCGCGCCGGCGAGGACCGCGGCGCAGCGGCCGCGGACGGCGGCGTCGGCGACGGCGCGCGCGAGGCCCCCGCGCGCCACGGGCTCGTGGGCCCGCTCGAGCGCCGCCGCGTGCTGCGTCGTGCGGCCGTGGTTCTGCCGCCACATGTACCTGCTCGGCGCGGGCGTGACCGGGACGGCGATCGCTGAAAGCCGGAGGCGCGCATCCAGTTTCCGTCTTCGACGTCGACGGTCATCGCCGTGGCCTCGCAGCGCGCGTAGAGCCACGACAGGTAGTGGTTGTCCGCGAATACGCCTAGGGGCATCGCGCGTCGGGCGGGACAGGCGCGGGGTCGGCGCGCGACGCCGGAAGCCGCTGTCGTGCTCGGCGGCGGGCGTGACGGAGAAGTACTCGCGCCACACGCCGAGGCGCACGGCCGCGTCGAAGTAGTTGGTCATGTGGAACCCGGGCCCCTCCGACGAGGCGACGACGTCGACGGGCGCGCCGCGGGCGTCGGACCGGTTCAGACCTGGCGAGGACGACGCTTCGCGCGTCGAGCGCTCGCGACGAGACGCCGGTTCGCGCCGTAGACGGGGCTCACGAGCACCTCCGCGTCGCGCGCCGCGGCCGCGATCGCGGCGTCGTAGGCCGCGACGCGGCCCGGGTGCCAGAGGTCGTCGTCGTCGCTGAAGACGCACCACGTCTCGTCGCCGTCGTCGTCGGCCAGGCGCAGACACGCCTACCGGACGCGTCGGTTTTCATCGTTGTCCCGGGGACGCTGTCGAACGCGCCTTGTAGTGACGAAATTGAGATTGGGCGTCGCCGTACTCGACGTCGACGCGGACGCCCGCGGCCCGGAGCCGCGCGGCGCGGCGGTCGAGCACGGCGCGCGCGGCTCGGCGCACGGCGGCGGCGGCGGAGACGGCGACGACGAGGCGCGCGGGCGCCGACCGCTGCCGCTCGACGGATGCGAGGCACGCGTCGAGCGACTCGAGGCGCGACGCCTGCCCCACGTGGCTCGCGAGGAAGGCCACGACCCGGGACGAGCCGGGGGGGCGCGGCGCGAGCGGAGCCCCTGAACTCGTCGGTGGTCTTGCCGTCGACGACGACGGAGTTGCCGTCGAGCTTGACGGCACGAGCTCCGCGGCGCGGCCGGCGAGCGCCTCCACGAGCGCGTCGGCGGGCAGCGCCGCGCCGTCGACGCGGAGCTCGTAGCGCTCCAGGGCCACGCCGTGCTTCTTCTGGAAGGCCTTGCAAAAGGCCGCGGCGACTGCGGCGAGCGGCCGCTGCGGCTTCGCGCGGAGCTTCGCCGTGAACGGCGGGTCGGCGACGTGGAGCACGACGTCCATCATTCACGAGAGGGACCCACGGGCTGCCCCATCGATCGATCACGAGTTTCTTGAAGGCGTCGTTGAGC